AGTTTACAAAACTGTGTGCTTATGTTTACACATGTATGTTTGTGTGTTGATGTTTTTATTGCATAAGGCAGTATTCTTCTTTTAAGCACACTACAAGTAATTTAATGTTGAAGTATCATATTTTCAAGTTCGAAAATTATTGCTTAATAAGTTATTTATGTTTATAATTTTACAAACATGCCTAACTTGATATGAAAATATATTAAACTTTCTATAAAGTAAATGGTTTATCATTAACACACTGATACAGTCTGCGAAGTGACAAAGAAAAGGGTTATATATTCCATGCTGATTTTGATACTAGTAAACATACTGATATTAGAAATACAGCTCATTAACATGTGAATTGCAATAACATGGCAATAATTATAGACACCAGGTGATGCCTCAATGCATCATGAATCTATGGCTCATTTATCAAGATGAGGTCTCTTCTACATCCCAAACAGTCATCCAGGCACAAAGCAGTTTACTAAATTATGCCTGTCCTTGTCCAGCTTTATCAGTTATTACTGGGTAAATATGTAACTATACAAAGACAATCTTGATAGTTTCCTAAGGACACTGAAAGTGTAAGGAGCTCACAACCATCTTATGTTCAAGTAAATTTACTGGCCTACTCTACTATTATTATATTAACTACACTTACTCTCAACAAAAACTCCTGATTGTTTCAAATAATCATCACTTTGAAATATCAGTGGACAGCTTTGTCGACAGATACAAAATTTAGCTTTGATATGAACAGCCATACCATTAACTCTTTTAGTATGAAAAAGGAAAAAAAATGTATGAATATTTTAGTCATATATCTTTCATTGTGGTCATATGATACTTAAAATGAGTTGACAAATACTCCTTGAGGCCAGCCCTCAAGCCTTATGAGCCCCCCCACCCCTCCATGGACCCTTTGGATATAGTTTTCATTACTCACAGGTGAGAGAAGGGTGTAAAGACCAGGTAATGAAAGTTACAAGGTGAGCTGTTCAGTAATGGAAATTGTGGCATGAGTCCCTATATCCAGTTCTATAATTTTTTAATGCTAAGCTGGGACTCCTAACATCATTTTCATATACTATAGATGAAAGTTGGGAATCTAAAGATCATATTGTATGGTTGTTTGTTCAAGATGATTATGGTTTAAGCCTCTTTTTTGTAGAAAATATTATTTCAAAAAGATTATACTTGCTAGGTTTAATTTTTTGTAGAAAATACATTAAAGCCTCTTTTTTAGAAAAACATAGAAAATTGTTTTGTGACACATCTATTTATACTTAATCTTAACTAATTCCCGAAATTTTGATTTTAATTACAGCCATTTTAAATCAAGAGTTAATTTTTAAAAATAACAAGAGCAATAGTTTTTTTCTAATTCATCTGAAATCACAATAATTTTGGTTATTTAAAGTATTCCTAGTTCCAGTATTACTCATATTAACAGCAAAGTGTGCACTCATGATTAAAACAGAAACACAACTTCTGATGAATGGGAATTCCACTGTTAAATGCATGGAATGGTAACAATTTTGGCTAAAATACATACTGAATATCCTTATCTATCCATTACTTTAATTCTGCTGGTTAGTGATTTCTTTGCTGCCCTACTTTTAGACTTGTGCTGAATAGTAAGAACTATAGAGCCACACAGTAACTCAGTCAGGATATTTCCTAAACATAACATGGTCAAATCAAGAGGGGGTGATTGTATACACAGCCCAAAGGCTTTCTGTCTAAGTAGCATGTTAGATTACACTCTGTTCAGGGAGAAATGGTTGACCTGTGGCTGCTGAACAGGTTGAGACTTGTTATAACCATGAATATGATGTAACGTGATGTCATTTATATCTTAAACAAATGCATTTCATATACAAATATCAATATCCTTTTTTATAATCATTAGTATAAAGAAAAAAAGTTTAACTGATTGATTGAATTTTCTTAACAAGAAAATCTACAACCTAACAACCTCTCTCACTGCCCTACTTAAGGCAATGTACTAGATTCTGGCTCAGAACTGGGCCATCTAATTCCTTGAGATGGAACACCACTTTGCCAGAATTACAGACCAAGGAATAATTTTATCTAAGAAATCTATTTTATCCCACAAGCTTATAAATTCCAGGAAATCTCTTTCTCCTGTTTATGATGGCCCATAATCATGTTGACAAATGTAGAAGAGGTATGAATGAGAATGAATATCTATCAGTCTCATATATGGAAATTAAAAGTTATTAATCCTTAATGTGTATATAAACCCACTGCTATCGGGAAAATGTGATGTTCACTGTAGTATTGGTTTGTGAACATTATTTACACACACATGGCTCAGCAAGAGCTTTGCCATCAAGGAGTCAATACAAAGTCTGTGCCCTCTCCGGATTTTTTGCTTTCCTCGGTTTTTTTATATTCTTTTTCTTTAAATGCTATTAATACTGATATTTCATTACTATTGTTACTGACATTAAGATAATTAACAATCCTAATTGGAACATAAAATAAAATATTTAAGAAAATCAAAGAAAAGAGTAAATAAGTGAGATAGGTGGACTATTGATTAACTGATTGGTGACTCAACCCTTGTGGAGCATCAGACTATACAAGTTTTTCTATCTTTGCCTCATATCACAGTTCTTCAGTCAAAAACTTATATTCTAACTCATAACTAACATTGTACTCTACATATAACTTTATAGTATAAGCTTAGGGCATAATTATTTAGTATTCTCAGGAGGAAAAACAAGAAAAAGGTTTTGATCTGTCTGATGAGGAACTCTTAACGAGTTTGAAATAGTACCATTCATTTCACTTCTTATTGTAGCTCTTTCTCTTTTCACCTAATATTCATGCCCAGCAAACATAATTTTGCATTTTTTTCTTTACCTTATGCACACATGCTTAGTCTTCAAGGAGTCAATTACCAGGCCTGCCTGGCTTCACCCTTTTACCTCATTATCATAATTTTTATCATTACTACTGATTATTGATGATGATGTGATGTGATGGTGATGATGATGGTGATGTGATAATAACAACAACAATGACGACAAGGACAAAAACAACAATAATAATGAGAAAAAGAGCATTTATAATAATATTAACCCATACGATCCGGATAACGTTACAGACCCATTATGGAAAAATCTGGGTTGAGGGCCAGGTGACATGAACATGCTGTCATCGGGCAAAATGGCAGCGGGCCGGGTGATGCCAACTTGTTGTCATGCATGAAGAGCAGGGTGATTGAAAAGACTCACCAAAAGAGTGAACAAACCTCTTGGAGTGTGATTTGACTCATTTAGCGCTTAGAAGGGGGCTTTAGCATTATTCCCATCAATAAACAAATGTGGCATGTAACATTCAAAAGCTGTGATTGTAAGAGTGCTGTCTCAAGGAAGGACATCATTTCCTTGCTGTGCAACCTATTCCTGGTTGCTGTGATCGGTGGCTATGTTGTATTACGGAAAATAGAAATAAGAAAGAAAGAAAAAAAAAAAGATACATGACAACTAACCAAATGTTCAAAACTTTTTTTTCTTGCAACGAGTTATTTACTACACAGAGATGATATGGAGTCTGTGCTAGGAAAATAAGCTATTACTATCTGGATAAAGCAAATCAAAAGGCAAATATGGACATTGGAAAATGGCAAAAAGTCCTAAAAAAGTTTACACAAAAGTAATTTTACAAACAGCTCATGGGTTTTCGTGGGCACCAAGCCTACGAACCACACGCCCAGGATGTTGGCTACTTACATAACTCACTGCCCAAATTTTCAGCACCATGATTCCGTGACGCAACCGGATTCAACAGGTTAAAAATTATGGTATCATTAATGTTTAATGTTTAATGTTTTTCCTAAAATTCACAAAATGTGGTAAAGGAGGCGAGGTCACATAAGCCTTGTAACTGACAGTCTGGTGAACTAAGCATTTGTGTTGATGCAATCTGTATAATAATAATGATTAAGATAATCAAAATAACAAAATTGACGATAATGATGATGATGATTATGATAAATAATGATGATGATACATGATGTGATGATAAATGATGATGATAACTGATGATGACAATAATGATGATGATGATGATGACGACAATAATGAAAATGATAACAATAATAATAATAATGATGATAATTATAATAATAATAATAGTCATAATAATAATAATAATAATAATAATAATAATAATAATAATAATAATAATAATAAAAAATAAGTATAATAATAATAAGTATAATAATAATAAGATAATATAATAAGAATAATAAGTATAATAAATAAGCATAATAATAAGTATAATAATAATAAGATAATAATAATAAGCATAAAATAATAAGCATATAATAATAAGCATAATAATAATAAGCATAATAAAAAGCAATAATAATAAGCATAATAAAATAAGTATATAATAATAAGCATAATAATAAAAGCATAATAATAATAAGCATATAATAATAAGTATAATAATAATAAGTATAATAATAATAAGTATAATAATAATAAGTATAATAATAATAAGTATAATAATAATAAGTATAATAAAATAATAATAAAATAATAATAAAATAAAATAATAATAATAATAATAAAAAACAATAATAAAATAATAAAAAAATAATAAAATAACTAATAATAAAATAATAAGAAAATAATAAGAAAATAATAATAACAACAATAACAATAACAACAATAACAATAACAATAACAATATAATAAAATAATAATGAAATATAATAAAATAATTATAATAATAATAATAATAACAATAACAATAATAATAATAATAATAAAAGGGTTGAAACAAATAAATGTGCTACACATCTAAGGTCTTATGGTATCATGGTAATATGGGGAGTAGAGTGAAAATAATAACAAAAACTACAATAATAATCACAACAATAACAACAAAACTACAACAAAAGCCATATGTTTTGGTGTATCTTCCCATTCTCTCTTTAAAATACATATAAAAAAAAAGAATAAAAGCACAAATTTAATAGACAACTTTATTTGCATTGATGCGTACAAAAATATGATTTCAATCAGAAATATGACCAGAAAGCAAATATATGACTTGCAAAGACAAAAGTAACTGTTTGGTAATGCCCAACAACCAACAACGAACCAAGTACCTCTGTTCATGCACACATCCCATGAAGCTCCACAAAAATTCTGAAAGATTCTTTTTCAACCCATGTAATGAAAGTTACAACTATTAACTGATTCTTCTATAACTCATCACCATTACATATTAAGGAATAAAATAAATGAGTCTTACAGTAAATACAGAGACAGCAAATGTGTCCACTGGAATGAAGAGCAAGACGTCAATCAAACTGTAGAGCATAAGCGTATACTAGTCTATTGAAAAGTGGATGTTTGTTTTACATGAACGATGAACACTGGATCCGTTAAGAATGAAATCTTCTATTCCTTCCTCTCTGTTAACCAGCTTGGAAATCTCACTGATTTATAGATATCATGAGAGTCAATCCAGCTAAACTTAAACTTTAAGCAAATTTGAAACAAGTACAAGAAGAAAAAAGTAAAATGTAAAAGAAAATATGCATTTTCTCAACTAAAACCAAATAAAAAAGAAATGTTCTGTCTGTGGTAAATATTTTATACCAAATAAAAGCCACATTTTAATAACTCAACACATTTAGGTGTTTTAACAATTTGAAAGTGGGTACAAAATATTGTTCAGAGAACAACCAAAATTCATTAAGATTGTAAAATCTTTAAGCCTTAAGGATATGTCTGTTTGGATTAATCAAAAGTAGTTCAAAATTTGTAAAAATCTTTAAATACTCTTAATTTCAGCTAAAACAGCGATAATACAGAGATAATAATAGCAATGAAACAAGAAATATGAACAGTATGTGGAGGAATCCTGAGTAAATAGCAGAGTACTTTAAATGATAGAAGTTGGTAACAAATGCATACTTCATAAACATTTTAGCATAATTAATATTGAAATAGTTATTTCTAAAGATCACATGTAATTCCTCTGTTTTCCAATATAATATAACCCATGTACATGATGACATTTATATGTACTTAAAATAACACTGTAAAACAACTATAAAACATCCTTGGCTTATTCATGGTATATTTATGAGCTTCTGCTGAAAAGATTTTACAATCTTAAAACACGAGAATTATCTTATTACCCATTACATGATGAATTTCATGCTTTGTGGAAAGCACAATTTATCATTTCAAACTAAACATTATCACTTTAAAGGATTCTTACACTGAATAAAAGGAATTATTGCCTGAAAGTTCCAGGCTTTGATGTTGCTGACTTTCCCTCAGCGTGGGACAGAATAAAATTTCTGTATCTGGAAAAGAAAATCATATATTAAAACTAATAATATCTTTTCCACAAACATATACATATTCCTAAAACCTTTTTTTCTTCAACCAAATGAATCAAATTGGTCCTGTATGGAAGATATGATTCAAAATAAAAGTTTAGAAGCTTAACAAAGTTAGCATACAGACTGAACTAATGAATATCCGATACCCTACGTAAGTACATAGAGTTCATTGTGACAAATAAAAAAGAGGTATAAATGAGAATGAACGAAGCTGATTAATATATAAATTATAGAAAAAAGTGGAAAGGAAAAAGTCTTGTGACTCTTACTAAGAAAACACTTTTTGACCGAAGTTGAGAATATACCAGTCGACCCTTTTTTTTTTAATTATATGTGTCCTCTTCTTACCTCTTAAGATCTAAAAGCCTACAGCTTGTTAGCCACTAAAAAGATATGAATAATCATATTCTAAACATAGAAAATAATATAATGTCTATTATTTTATATTATCTAATTATATAACTAGTAAAAAGCCATGACATACCAAGAGATATACGTTATAGTATGTGGAGGAGGAATATTTTACTTGATAATGAAAATCACTTAAAAAAAGAGCCTGCCAGTTTTAGATGGACCTTGAATGATCATACTGAATGGCAGAGCCCACATACCAAGTACAAAGCCATGAATATGATGAAGAAGACAACAAGAATAAAAAGGGAGAGTGAGAGAGAGCTTGAGAGGGAGAGAGTGTGAGTGTGTAGAACTATGTCTATCCAAAAAATTGTCAAATCATGCTCCTACAGCTGATTTAAATCACCTATTGTAACACAGGAAAAAGACGACATCCCTCCTTTTTGTAAGACAAATACCTTGAAGTCAAATAATGGACGAGAACTGTCATGGATTACTAAACTTATAACACATTTGCAAGTTACTTGACTTGTGGAGTGCACAGTTACTCTTTCTGATCTCACTCTATTGTGTACAGTACATCACACATATTTTATTTGCTTCCTTTACAAACATAAACATAAGTCTTGCAGGGTGACAAGAAAAAGGAGAAAAAGAGAAAGATGAATGAGGAGGAGGAGGAGGAGGAAGAGGAGGAAGAAAAACTAGAATCAGTATTATCCTTACAGCATCATTCTTAGGCTTTGGCAGCATCCTCTGGTGCTGCTTTGGGTTCCTCCAGCTTGGCCTCCAACTGGCTGATGCGTTCCTTGAGGCTGGAGTTTTCCGATTGCAAGGATTCAACATTTGCTTGGAGGGTTTCTATGGTAGTCTTTTGCTCTTTGACCTGGAAAGTTCATGGATATCATTTTTACTTCTGAAGAGTTTAGTTTGAATCAATCAAATGTAGGGGGATGACATCTCCTGTATATCCTTAGTCAATAAAAGCTAATTAATGAAATACAAAATTTACCCATCTAGAGTAATATCTTTTCACTATGTCTTGATGTTTCTACATTAAAGCTCTCTAGCCTTCCTGAAACAACAGAGAGAGAGAAAAAAACTGTAACAGGCAAGTGAAAAAAATTAATAGAAAGTAAAAAGTGTTCCATACCTTCTCTTCATACATCTGAAGTCGTTCATTATCAACTGTCATAGTCCCCAGAGCAGTCTTAATGTACTGCAAGGCATCAGATGGCCTGTCAGGTTCCTCATAGAGATGCACCAGGACATCTGTCAGGGCTGACATTACGCCAGACTTCTCTACATAAGTGCGAAACTTTTCCCGTTCGGAATCCATCTTCTGTTTGGGGAAAATGATGTCATTTGTCACAAATTACTAAGCCATGATAAATTCTAACTATAATGTATAGATTAGATATCTACGAAATGTATGCACATGTGCATATATATATATACATATATATATATA